CAGGCTTGTGCACGTGCAGAATGATCTCAGTGTTGGCTGGATACGTTTTGATTAGTTTAGTCAACATTAGCATAGCTAATTGTTGACTGGATTTGAAAATATCCGTTCATTCAATGTTTTTCAAATATATTTGTGTAGACTTAATGTAATATGTCCTCTCAACTAAGCCCAAGTACAAAAATTTTGCCCTTCCAACATTTTGTTAATTGGATTTTTTACAGTGTACAGGTTTGGAATGATGTGAGGGTGAATAAATGTCAAAATCTCAAAATCCACTGGGTGGACTATCCCTTTAAATGTTGGTCTGTTTTGCACACAAACCTCACAACTTGAAATACAAGGCACAGATCCTATGCACTACTTCTATGTAATTTAATGGTGCTTTTGGTGTTTTTTAAGCTTTACATATCTTACTATGGATGGAAAATAGCTTATTTTTCCCCCAAAAAACATCTAATAAGAGCACAGGTTTGGAACAACATGAATAACAACATATAACGTTTAGTTTAACTATTCCTTTATTGTTGTTTAATCTTATATCCATTAGACTGAAAACCTCTAATCCATGTGATTAGAGAGGGAGAGACAAAGAGAAACAAAGTTAGAAAGTGAGCAATAAAAAAGATAAATAGTACAGAATAACCCCCCATCAAGTATTTCCCTCCTCTCACTTGGCATCACTCTCTCCCTCTCCATCATTCTTTCCATCTCAACGAAAAGGTGGGGGGGGGGATCTAAAGAGGCAGGTGTGAGGAAGATTGCAAAATCAATAGGACTTAATGGAGTTGCAGCGGAAGCCATTGAGTGTCCTCTCAGAGTGCTGATGAGACTGCAAAGAGCAGTATTTGGATGAGATGCCCAACAGCCAACACCCTGTCTTTTTTCCCTCTCCCTCTCTCTCCAACCTAAAGTGTGTCTGCCGCGCTATCACCGCAAAGCTATTTTACTAGATCAATGTCGGGTCCTTAATAGAACACGACGCTCACACTGCCGCAGGCCACTAGGCTGGGGTGGAGACTGCAGCGTCAATCAAATCTTCTACAGGTGCCTTAGATCAGCGCACTGCCATAGTGACAGAAATACCACAGCACCTGCGGCCCTTCCCTTACAGACTTGTCAACAGGGCCTGACTGACACAAACACATTCACGTCCAACTCAGCCGACAAGCACCTTAAGCAATGTGACTTTCTCACATTATGGTATTAGGTAGCAATCTGTGCGTCTGTGGGTCTTACGCTGCACAAAAAACAACAACAACAACCCTGATATACAGTAGCAAAACTTTGCATATGAACAATTTTCTCCAGTCTTCAGTGCCACTTGTTCCTTCTGAAATCATTCTAATATACTGATTTTGTGCTCAAGAACCATTTCTATGATACATTTTCAGAAAATATAAAAAAACAAACAAAATACAAACCCTGCATTTTTATGAAATATAAATCTTTTGTAGCATTATACATATGTATAATAATGTACATTTGATGCACTTTACGCATCCTTGCAATATAATATATATAGGTGCACTTGGAATAAAAATTCTAGAAGTTTTCCTTTGACATTTAAATCTCTGTCTGATGACAATAAAAGCAGTGCAGTACAATAAAACTTTTATTAGTCACTTTTTCTGTTTCTTCCTTTCCAAATAGGCTGCTTTTGGCCAGAACAAGCTGAAAAGTGCACAAGACATTATTCAGAAGAGTTAAAAGTTTGTTTGTTGGGATTAAAGATAAAAGTCAAACTACCTACAGTGACATTTTCAACAGGATAATCTGTTGTTTAGGTATCAGTGACAAGCAGTCAGAGGGAGGGCAGAGAGAAAAGAAAGAAAAACAGATGCGTCTCATGTTGGGAACACAGCTGTGCTGTGCTCTGAGATCAAGGCAAGCATATTCTGTTTACTGCCTTCAAGCTGGAGAGACACCATTATCAAGCCATGCTGGAGAAGAGGTACATGGCAGGGAAAACAGGAAGAGAGAAAATGCACTGAAGTGTAAACAAGCACATTCACACCTTCTCTCACACTCCTTTTCTGCACGCTTTCATTTGCAAGCAGATATGCAAAGAAATACTCTTCCCTACAAAAATCAACAAAGTGGCCATGAAAGATAAATGTACAAAAAAGGCATACAGAGAATATCACAGCATATCGGTAAAACACAAACCAAGAGCTGTATTGAGACTTTTTGCTCTGCAGTGTTTCATGCGGTGGATGTTGACAGGATTGTAGGTAAAAGCGCTGCTCCTTCTGCAGCTGACATTGTTTTATGGCAGCCTGTCTACTGACCCCATATTGTTTACTTGTGTTCCTCATCACCTGGCTGAGCTCAGGAAAGGAGCTGAAGCTTTGAAAGGAGCTCATTTTCCCTCTGACCTGTAACAAACTAAGTACAGCCGTCAAGAACTCTGAGGCAGAATCAGTCGTCAAACTGAGCTTATTGTTTATTGTCATAATAATTGCAGTCAACATGGACTCTACGCCTCGCTGGAATAATTATATGTTGGTTAAAAACACACACACAAATTATGACTTGTATAAAATACACATTCGTTATATTGCAATTTTTTTATACAGTATAACAGTAAGATTGTGAAATATTATTACAATTCAAACTATTTCAATACATTTTGAAATGTAATTTAATCCTGTGATGGAAGGAATAAAACTGACTTTACAGCAGCCATTACTCAAATCTGCATTGGCACATGATCTTTTAAAAATTATTCAAAAATGCTGATTTGGAGCTCAAGAAACATTTCAAATTATTATCAATGTTAAAACCAGTTGGAATGCTTAATATATTTGCGAAAACAGTGATACATTTTTTCAGGTTTCTCTGATGAAGAGAAAGTTGAAAACACAAATTAACTGTAATATTGTAAATGTCTTCACTGTCACTTTTAATGAATTTAATGCTGAATAAATGTATTCACCTCTTTTGAAAAATAAATGAATAAATAAATAAAATAAAATCATACAGAACCAAAACCTAAACTGTACTGCATATACAGGTATCAGACAAATATCGGAAGCAAATAATATCAATATTTTATTCATCTTATCTAGTAAAACGATTCCATATTTTTATGCCCAGTTTTGTAGCGCACAGTCACATGTAGCCAAACCTAATTTGTAAAATTATTCTGGCCAAGAACCACCAATTTAGGGAGGAAGAAACTGTCTGACATGTAAAGTGACCAACCAAATTTTCTTTTGCGTGCCTTTTAATGGCATTATCGGAAATAGATTAAAAAAGCACAATAATTACAAGATTACAAGACCACAATAAATGGCAGTAAACAAATAACGCCAATAAATAGTACTAATAGTAGAAAATGTATGTAGACCTCAGCATTTCTATGGAATCCAAATTTTATAAGTACTGATAATTTTACCAAAACAACATACAATTCTACTCACAGATATCTAGTTTAATTCCTAACAAGTGTCTCACCAAGCTTGCAAACTTTGGCAAGCCCAGAGTTTAGTTCTTCCACACTGAATAATCAAGGGACTCTTCAATCATATTTAATCTAGTGAATTTTGCCAGCGCTCTCCATTTTACTGCATATACATTAGCCAGTTAGTGATCAGACTGTGTGGATGTGGCATGTCTTTATGGATCCACTATCAAAAGCCTGTCAGAGCAAGCAGTAAGTAAGCAGTAAGTCATTCAGCAGATGCTTTTACCCAAAGTGACTTACAATTTACTTAAGGGTTGCTCACACTGACAGAGATTAAATAGGATTGCCAAGTAGCTGTTCTGTTGGTTGCTAGTAGCTAGTAACAGCTAAACTATATTATGAGGCAAATCATCGCAGAGTATTTGAATAACCTTGAACTTCAGTATCGCTAAGAGTGTTCATGTTGCCTCCAATCGGCAACTGAAAGTCAATGACTTCCAAATGCTTTGTCACTGCAAATCGCTGTCAGTCTGAAAGACCACAGGGTCAATTCTCCTGGAGTGACCTGAGGTTAAGTGCCTTGCTTAAAGGCAAAACAGCCAAAGCTCATGTCTCATCCTATGAGGGACTCAAATCTAAAAACTTTCGGCTACCAGCCCAGCTCTTTCACCGCTACGCTAGACAACTGCCACAGCGAGAAAACAAATGCAGCCAAACGCAGCCAAATGTTCTCGCATCTTAGTTTTTCTAATCAAAACATCTGCGAAAAATGGTTGCGCACACAAGCTTCTGGACTATGACCAAAACCTGAACTCCAGAGTCCTACTTACAGTAATTGATCTGGACTATTGATCAAAGCCCTCTCAGCCAACAACCTGCTCTGTGCATTTGAAAAGGATAAAAAAAGTCTTTTGATGACATATATGGGGTGTTTACTCAATAGATATGCATACATTAACAGCAGCTCAGAAAGGTCCGAGATGTTGCACTTGGGATAGTGCACGTCTGGATGTGAGAATGTGTATGTGCGTGTAATTTGCGGTTAAGGACTGGTGTGGGCGAAGGACTATCATTATGTTCCCTGCGAGAGGTCATTGCTGTGGAGAGCTTTTCATACTGATTACACATGTTTCACCTCGGCTCTCTGTTCCCTTTGGCAAGCGTTGAGAGGCACGGTGACACACATATAAAGTCCGTTTAGTGCTCTCAATCAAAAGATGAGTCCGCACTCAACATTGGCCGAGGGAAATACTGAAAATCAAGGTGTTTCCAAACACAAACAACCTGGATTATGAGCCAAATAAGCACTGGGAGAGAAAACGTGAGTGCTGTCTTTGCGTCGGCTTTCCAATTTGTCCTTCTAATAATAATCATTTTAGCAGTGACAGATCACTCGTTGCAACAGAAAGATCAGTCACATGGATAATGAATAATTCAAAAACAGGTAATTGAAAATTATACAGAGCGAACTTCACTTCACAAGTGATTACTATAAATGGAGCCCGATCAGTGTGGCATTTCTCCCGTACTGTTTATCACAGGGCTGGTTGTGATGTTGACGTGCATGAGTGACAGGTGCCTGGGGGCTCCTCACCTGTTCCAGTCTCCAGTGGAACTCTGCCGGCCTGAAGGAGTCCAGCTGAATAAAGTCTCGCCTCAGAAGAAACACCAGACGGCAGTTGTGGACATATAGAGAGTAATGATGCCTGTTCATCTCTGCAAAAAACACAGAAAAGCCTTACTGTAAGGGCGTCAAAAAATAATGCTTGACAGGGTAAATAAATGATGTGTTATTTTAGGACTGTAAAATAACTTTTCTACAAATCACTCTCAATGGCTGTCAAAGCAAGAACGTCATGTTGATTAAAGATTTACATTTATAGATTTCCATGCCTCGCTCTGAGAGCTTGTCTGAACTGCATAGTCATGTTAGAAAAACTCTCGACTGTTATACAAGGCTGAGTCATAAAAATTACACTACAAACAAGGAGATAAGTCTTGACATAGAGAAAAATGAACAGATACCACTGTGGTTCTGCAGAAACTCTAAAGGGAATAATTCCAGTCAGGGATGGAATGACTAGCAGGATATATTTCATGAATCCTGCTCAAAAATCCAGGGATAACCAGCTTACTACCAACCACTTTTTACTCATTTATAGAATGAATTAATTGACAACTCACATTCAAGTCTCACATTACTAAAAAAATATATATATTCCAAAAGAATACAGTTATTTAGAATTTTCTGCTCATCAAATAATCCTAAAAATGTTTCAAGGCTTCCACAAAAATATTAAACAGTGCAATTGTTCAGCAAAACGTTGATAATAATAAGATTTTTTGCTTTTTCTGAAGACTGAGTAATGGCCACTGAAAACGTATTATATATTACGTAATATTTATATAATTTACATAATATTTGTATTATGTACTATTTTTCCTTTTCCATTTTTTTTTTTACATTTGGGTTACTATTGCTGTCATCGAATGCTTACTTTAAGTTGATCTTTAAAAGCACTATTAACTTAATAACACTATAATGTTGCATTAACATTATAATGTTGCAATGCCTAAAATTCATTAAACTAAATTCAATTCAATTGCATTACAATTTAAATAGCTTTTAGCTTAATGGTATCAGCCAAGATTGCATCTTTTGACAGGTTATTTAGAGCTGGTAGACCACCTTGGCTTTGATGGTTACTACTAAATACCAGCAACAAACCTTGCTCCAAAAGCCATTTTAACCTTAAGCTGGTATTAAATTTTTTCCCAGCTTTATTCAGACTAAATGTCAATCCGTAACAATGCTAAATCCTAACAGGATGTGCATGAGAGAGCTGCCATTCAAACGGAGACTCCTGTTAAAGCATTTTCTTCTCTGTTATTGAAACGTTTCACTGTTCATCACGTGCCTTACTCAAAGAAAGTCTGGACTGTTTTCACGCTTTCTCAGAAGCCTCTCATTGATCAAGGTGGCTGCCACGTCTCCTCCACAAGGCGCCCCTCTCCACTCACCTCAACGCCGCTGCCCGATGTCTCTTGTGCAACTGCTTTTAGTGCATGTTGAATTGATTTAGTCTCACACCCACTCAACATGACGCCTGGGATCAATGAACTCGAAAGAGCCCTGCCAAGCAGTCGGCCCCCATCAGGGCCACTCGGTCTCAGAGAACTGGCCGCTGACAGTCACGCTGCATTTCTTCCTGACTAGAGTTTCCCTGAGAATTTTTCACTCTTTAATTCAGATCTAATCCATAGTCTTAATTTCTCTTTGGTACTGATCAAAATTTTCTTGGGTTTGTCTGACACACCCATAGCACTGACCTCTTCAATTCTACCAAACTGGGGATGGATCACCAGATTAGGAAACTGTAGACATACAAAATTATTAGAACACTAGTATTTTCATCAGCTAAAAAATGGTTCTAAGTCAGTTATTTCTATCTTTTGCTGTAGCGTGTCGGTAGGAAATATAAGTTTACATTTTCAAACATTAATTTTGCCATTAACTGTAATAATAAGAGATTTTTGTTTGCACAAGTACAGCCAGTGCTCCACACAGAGATCTGATCTCATCATCATCCAGTCTGTCTGGAATGACATGAAGAAGCACAATAAACTGAGACAGACTAAATCCAGAAGAACTGTGGCAACGTTTCTAAGATGCTTCAAGAAACCTACCTGCAAAGCTACCAGAAAAACTATGTGCAAGTGCACCTATGGCAAAAGCTGCTTTAAAGTCGCCCTGTAGTTAAAATCAAGTTTTTTATGTTGTTTATTTGTGGTGTTTTTAATATGCTTTTAGACAGACCATGTGCCAATCTATTAATCAACACCATTGCTGTGTATTTTCTCCTTAAAGCTGTAGTTTCCCAAAGGCTGACCCAGAAATATGGTTTGAAACAGCCCTTGGTTTGCTACGTCACAAACCAATAACCAATCACGTCAAGGGATCGATTCCTATCACTAGCATGCAAAATATACCAATACCAGCACAAAACCAAAAATAAATCAGAGCAAAAAACCCATGAAGCTGTGGTTTAATGTGAATTTAGAACCGCTAACTTGCATTATAATCCGTGGCAACAGTGTAAAAGTAGCCCGGAGTCAGATGCACCTCTCCCGCATCGGCGTCTGTACTTCACACGCGTTGCTTGCAGGCGCAAATTAACAATCACAAATGGCTGCATTCGAGTCACCTCTCCCGCATCGGCGTCTGTACTTCACACGCGTTGCTTGCAGGCGCGAATTAACAATCACAAACGGCTGCATTCGAGTCATCAAGGCATTTTAGGACACAACATCGTCAAGTAAGTAACTTTAACGAATGTTACAGTATTCACTGTAGTTGTCCGCTAGTAAAAACATAGTTTTATCAGTCATTATCTGTGTATGCCATTGTTTTGCGGTTACTACAGTTCAGTGGATCAGGAGGCTGGCTGGTGTGACTGAGTGGAGGCGGGACTAATTTACATATTCATAGATCCGCATATAGTAAATGAGGCAAGGGTGTAGAGTTACATTCAAGCTATTTTAAGGCATGAGAAAATTATTTTCACAAGAAAAAACATTTAAATATGTCATTTTGAAATAAAATATTTGACTACATGGGGACTTTAAAACGCAAATGATGGTCACACCAAATGTTGACTTAATTTAGTTAATAGAAGTTAATTGATGAAGAAAATCTATTTATGACATTATTTTTGACAGAATCCTCATTTTACAGCATTCAGATCTCTGTGTGGAGCACTAGCTGTTGTCAGACTCCTTGTGAAAACAAAAATCTCACTGGGTTATTACAATTAATGGCAAAATTAATGTTTGGAAATGTAAACTGATATTTCCTACTGACACACTACAGTAAAACCATTTTTAGCTGGTGAAAATACTAGTGTTCTAATAATTTTGGCCACCACTGTAATCTAAATTATTTTAGCACTATTTAATGAAAAAAAGTATATATAAACCCTGCCCCTCTTAAAGGTTTAACACATGCCTACTGAGTCACCATAGCTCACCAGTTTTATCAGAATTACACAGCAACGTCTCCTTCTCGGCTCTCAGCCCAGGACTTGGCCCATGCTTCATCCATGTTGCTATGGTAAACTGATCCGTCAGGTTCTGTGGCACAACCCACTCTGGGATATTGGCCGCCTGTCGTCCATCAAATCTGAAGATGAGGTCGCTGTCTCGGCCGCTGTCTGTCAGCAAGGAAGCCGTCCAATTGGTGGACACGCTCGGCGCCGGGAGAAGGTCTGTGCTGCCCGAGGCTGCTCCTGTGGAGATAAAAGCACAGAGGTTAGTTCAGGTTACTGCAAGAAAAATTACAAGCTGTCTGTCACAAAGAGTTAAAATCATGTTAGTTGCCCTGGCGTTCCAATATACTGTGCATACAGCACACTTCAAATCAAATTAGAGATGAAAAGCAAGTAACATTTGGTTCCGAGACCCACATTCAACCCTGACTGAAATGTCATTTCTGAAAGCAAACGTCTCATTATAAAACTCAATGCTGTCGGATGTGGCCTAGCAACATTTTGGCACGTTAAGCTAGGGTGATCATGTGGGTTAAAAGAGTTTGAGTATGGATTCTTCATCAACTGGGAAGCATATGTTAGGAATATATAAACTATCCCTTTAAAAAAGGCAAAACTTTGAAATATAAGTAATTGTGTTCACACTCACTTTGAGGACAAGTCTAGTACAGATGCCCTAAATATGCAAGAGCAGCGCCACCTATCAATCTTTGATTAGCCTCCTGTCGTCCTCCCTCCCTCCCGTGCCTCTCTCTGCGTGTTTTATTTGGGAGTACAGGAGGATACTGAATCTTTTTCCCCCACTCAGGGGTGACAGGACGGCCAGCACAGAGAGACAGAATGAGCGATGAGCAACGGCGATGTCAGAGCAACGTGTTCTCATTCCACAGCTCCACATCACTCACTTCGCCACGGGCCCAAAGAGAGACAGGAGCGCGAGGGAATATGGCAGTGGCGCTGCTTTTAAGCTATGCAATATTTATTTCTGCCAATCGATATTGGACGATAAATTCACCGCCAGACTCCAAGTGAGCGTCTGAGCTCTTCTGAGAGAATCCATTTCCAGCAATACCGTAAAGGTACAGGTCAATGAGATTACATTACGCAAGCAATTTCTAGCGCTACATGAGTCTCAGTGGCGGCTCTTGCCATCAAATGTCCAGTCCAGAATAAACTGTCTGCATTTCAAGGTTGTACACTAACGGTTACACATTGGGTCTTTGCGATTTCCATAAAACATATATTTATCGAAATTATTCAGGTGTGCTTTAAAAAAAAAATATCATACTTGGTTGCCAGCTTTGATGTCTATTTCAGAAACACTTCAAAAATGTGCCTATTTTCAAACAATAAGCACTTATTTCAGCTAACTGTACAAAGTGCTTGGGCAAAAGCGACTGACATCAACAGGGGAAACGATTATTACTGAGACAGAGAGAGCCAAGATGGTAAAAAGATCAACACACTTAATGCTTCACAAATCAGTCAGAGCTTTAATCACTCCACAACTGTGTGCCAGAGTGGCTCTGACTTCATAATGCATCAGTTTCAAAGAGTCTTTCATCAGATTAAAATGACTGATTTATTGAGATACATGAAAATTGTTTTATAACCCATTTAAAATGTGTTGAACACGCAATGTGTGTATATGAGATATGGTTAGGTGAATTGTAGGGATGAACTGATATTAAAAGTCTTCCCCATACTAGTAAGCCAATAATTGTTTTCAAGTTAGACTCAAAACTCATAAATGGCAGATATTAGAATTCTATACTACTTTGTCTATAAAAAAAATTGCTTTAAGAACTAGTAGTTACATGTGAATTTGGGCAAAACAACCTTATAATCTATAGTATGACAAAAGAGAGAGAGAGAGATTTAACAGTGACATTAGATTATTAATGCTTTGGAAGTATACCGCCACCGTCGACCCCCAGGAGGTCCTTGCACACTGAGTCCGAAATTTTCAAGTGTGTTTTTTTTTTCATATTCGTCATCCTTTTCTATCAAAATGCTTGCTATGGATGCGAAAACGCAGAAAATCAAACCTGAGCCGAATTTTTTTATGACGGACGAAAGTTTTGGAGGCAGTGTGTAAATGTGATTGACACAACGTGAGGTCGTATTTATTTTTTAAGGTGCGTACATTTTTTAAGAAGAATATTTAGACTCAGTGTGCAAAGACCTTTAGAAGTGACTATCACTCACATAAAAACTTGAAATGTTAGATGATGGCAAAAAAGGGGAAATGTACATGCAAAATTAAATATCCATTGTACACAGTTACATGCCCAGTATTGAATAATAAATTATACATTCTATAATACTGTGCATCTCTATTTGAATGTAAAAGTTTGTGAATTGAATTAAACTCATTTAGCTCAGCATACCAACTCAAAGCAGTTCTGGACTGACTGATAAAAGATTTGTGTTGAAGTGGACCATACCGCAGAGCTTCTGCAGAGACTTCTCAGAATAGGTCTCTCTGTCACAGCCCTTCCCAATATGGCTGGTCTGCAGTTCCACCATGGCTCGCACTGAAGATAAAGGGCCATCGCAGGTCTCCAGGTGCATCTTGGGAAAGAGCTGCTTGCTGCCTGTTCCAGGTTCATAATCCAAACGCTTGTTCCAACCTGGGAGAAAAACACATATTAGAAACCAGAGATTTTACAGTTCTAAAATCTGTGTAAATAAATATAAATATAAATATGTAAATGCTAATAAATAGCTTTCACCAGGTACTACAGATCTCCTTGATTCAAACAGCTCACAATTAGGCTAGTGAATCAAATTATTATTATTATTTTTTTTTTTTGGTAAATATATTATTTTAATTGTTCATTGCTTAATAATAATAATAATAATAATAATAATAATAATACAAAATATAGCAATTTAAAATATAATACCCACCTTACCTTTATTATTCATTACCCAACTTTTCCCCATCATGCTTCAACACCCTTTAAAATCACTTTGACACACTGGTTATTTGCTTTCATATCAGAGTTCAGCTGTCGCTACAGCATCTGTTGTCGCCCCATATCAGATTTACATTATACGCTGTATCCTTTTTATCTTTCAGTACAAACACGAAGAGGTAAAACCAATCGTGATGAAAGCTATGGTTAAAAGCAAACAGCAAGGTCAAAGGAAAAAGGAATCCATCTGGAATTATTTTCTTACTGACACATGTTACCCCTCCTGGTCAAGGCTGGCACATCACTGTGTGCTTTAGTATGTGTTCATGCATGTTACATTACTCTGTCTTGTGCGCTTTATAAAACATGAAGCTTAGAGTAAGAATAACCCTTAAGATAAAACATCTCACTCTTCCTTGCTGGCCTTTATGGACTCTCTCTGTATAATTCAGAGAACCCAGTGCTTTGTATTCACCTCAGCAGAGAGATATTCCCTCAGCCCGTTTCCCTAACTGAATATCTTATTACATTATTCATTGGCACTACTGTGGATAAAATGGGGCGACAGTACAGTACCACAGGCCTACATCTCTACCTCTTTTTGAGGGAAAGGTCTTAAAAAAGTTCCTCATGAATATCTGAGGTAGTCGTTCTGCCCCAGATAAACTGAGCAGAGAAGCTTTATAGCTTACTTCAAAACACAATATATGCAATAAAAACTTTTTCAGAAAAAAAAAACACCTAAAAAAAAATCTAAAACGGCAGTGGGTCTTCTTTTAATCCAGTATCAGAAAAAAAGCATGTGCAACAGGACTTTGGAGGCATGGCATCAAAACAACGTTCTGTGTGCGCTGCGTAATGACTCATCTACTCCCTGGAGAGTGAATAATTCCCTCGATTATCCAAACACACCAAAGCCAGAGGCCAGACTCATTCTGTTCAATAGAAAGACCATTTCAGGACCTCGGGGTGACGATTAACATTAACTGCGGCATTAAACATTCATTGCTTATTCGCAAATGCCACAGATGCCAAAAAGTCGCTGCAGAGCAACGCGGGGACTGATATTGCCACTGGAATTGCTGAAGTAAAAAAGAACAGACTGGGATACGCATGGAAAAATAATGGGAGAGTGGGGGGTTCGGGGTGAAATGGTGCAGGAAAGGGCTACATGACAGGTGGACAGGAAATGAGTTGGCCAGGAAACTCACCTTTTTTCTGTCACAGAGTTTCCATCATAAGACTGCCTTGAGATGTTCACGGATGAATGTAATGCTAATTAAAGACTGGAAGTGGTGCGTTTGTATATTTATGGGGTTCTTCTAATTTTGTTTGTGCATTTTGAAATCTAATCAGGGAGTGTAGTGGAGAGCGAGAGGAAACTAGAAAAGCGGAAAATATCAGGATGTAATGCTGGTCAGATTCAAACCTGTGTCGCCACATATTAAAAAAAAAAAAAAATGTATAGTACCAATGCTCTGCAAACAGCAAAGTCAGATATTTTTAAAAAGTGCAGGTCTGCTTTTGAACCAAAGCTCTGTCTTTACTTAAATGAGAACGTTTTAAATGATTACTTAAACTATTTTAATTCAAACAAGGGGTTGATAAAAGTATGTTATTGTTTGACATTTGTTGTGTTGTTTTCCACATTATCATCTGCAAATTACATTGTCCTTCAAAAGTCTGGAAACACTCTAGGCAAAATGGAAAAAAATCAGTATGAATCATAATCATTATTTTATGATGACTTTGTACTAAAAAGGATCAAATCAAGCTCTAAAAACATTAATTTATATTTAATCAGAAAGAAAATAATTATAGTTGCTTTACTGCATTTATGCCAAGGAATTATAAAGATATAATGGCAAAAGTAATTATTTTATAAAATTTCGTAAGTAAATTGCATACTTTAGTCACAATAAAATGGACTAAAATGAATATGACATGATAAAATATTGACCAAATTTAAAATTCAACATGAAAGGAAAAAATCAGCTCATTTAGTTTCTAAATGCACATTCCCTGGTTTCATGTTAAATTATTTATCTTTGTAGGTTATATACAAAAAGCAACGCACAGAACACGAAAATAATTAACTAGAAGAAACTAAACTAAACTAAACTAAACTTATTTTCACAAGCAACATCACGTTTCATCTTAACAACTTGCACTTCTTCTGTCACTTAAACTGCACAGGCTATTGGGTAATGTTAACAAATATCTAAACAGCAATTTAGACTTTTTTTATCGCATTTAGGGCCCTATCATACACCCGGCGCAATGCGGCATCAGGCACGACGCAAGTGTTTTTTGTTAGTTTCAGCCCGACGCAGTTGTCATTTTCACGTCCTGCACCAGGTTGTTTAAATGGCAAATGCATTTGCACCCATTTGTGTGCCCATGGGCGTGCTGGTCTGAAAACGAGGTGTGTTCAGGCGCATTGCTGGCGCGTTGACCAACACAAACCTGATCTAAAGTCAAAGGCGCAGTCGTTTTTTTGTTATTTAAAGAGCGTGTTATATAGGCAGGTCCACAGTGCGCGTACACTCTGCTTATTACACACACACACACAGGGACGCACAGCAGCACACAAACATGCCAAATATTAAAAATTAAAGGATTGCAATGTAAAAGATTATTATTGTGTAGGCTACATAAATATAAAAATGCCTACATGTCATAATGGATAGTCATTGCATGTATCAGAATTAGGCTACCTTTTTGCTTTGCTCACGAGCAGCTCCGTTTCATCTCTGGAGACGCGTTCTGTCTTTGCGCTTGCAAATTCCGCTGTGTAAATAGCAATTCCGCCATGACATGACTCTTACATTGGCTCTTACAGGGAATGGTAGATGAGACTCTGATTGGTTTATTGCACGTTATGCCCAAAACACACCCATTACTCATTAAGAGAATAGGGACAACCCTTTTAGACCATGCGCAGGGCGCGCCGACCGTTTTCCCCATCGTTAAACTAGCAAAAGTGGATTTGGACACACCCCAAGTGCACCTGCGCTGTGCACTTTAGACCATGCGCTTAGATCATTAAAATAGGGCCCTTAGTCTGGATCCATTACTACTATGCAATGCCCAAGTTCATTTTATTCCTAACAGATAAAATCATGTCCAGCCTTGCATTTTTCTCTCAGTAAATATCGTGTACACGGTGTAAGTGAAGACCTGATTGGCAGTGCCAGTTTTCTATGGGTTCTGCACTCAATGAGAGATCTGTCACTCTCAGTGGATGGTTCAGTAAGATGGGCCACTGGACGGAGAGATGGAGAGATCAGTGTTGACAGATGAGATTTGACCAGAGACAAAGAGAGGCTGCCCTATTACACGCTTATGGAAGCGGGAAGCGTTACAACCAGAAATCCTCGCCCTTCACCTCTGCGGTGCCTACAATGATCGTCACTCAGTTCTCACTTCCACCTCACTTCTTATGAATCACACTGACAACACAGGCCTTGCAATCTCTCAGCCAATGACTGCTTATTCTCTGGGCGTGGGAGCCTGCCAGCGACTGTCAACACATCCTAAGGCCCTATCATGTTTTAGATGATACCTGAGCTCAGAAACAGCAGTGACCCTGGGACAAACTAGGAGTGCTTGAGGAGAGAGAAAATGAGAAGAAAGCATTGGCAACGTTTTCTTTTTTTCTTTTCTTTCATTACTTTTTTTTCCATGCCAATAAAACTACTTGAATTCAAAGCAGAGAAAATGAATAAAAAGAAGAAAGGAAGAAACCATATAAACTATTATTTTAAAAAAAATACAGATTTTTCATATATATATATATATATGTTCATACTAAGAAACTTGGCTCGAGTTCAAACACACTCTATGTTCAGTCAAATGTAAATTTAGCTGTTTCCCAATATGAACAAATACAATATGTATTTTTTTTTATAAGACACTGATTCTTGAGACATGGGACAAAACATGTCCAGCAATTGTAACTGCTACTAGGTTTAAAAATGTGTGCTGTCAAACGATTAATCACGATTAATCGCATCCAAAATAAAAGTTTTTGTATAAAAATACACCTATAATGCAAAGTCTTGATATTTATTTAAATTGTGTCCACTATACTCAAACAGCCGCTGAATTTTTTACAAAGTTTGACTTTTGTCACGATTGAATTACCTGTAGCTACATTGTTTCTTCTCAGTAGGAGAAGTGATTAGATGACAGTGATTAGGCGTCTTGTCTCTCTAGCCCCTGACATGCACATTTTAATGGCTCAACTGAAGCCTGTGAATTGAATACATCTGCAGATATTTTCCACACCTCAATCGATGTGTGAAAGAAGGTAAACTGTGAAAAAAGCTGCCTCGTCTTTTTCTCCAATTTAATGATGTTGAAAGCTCTGCCTACTGACTGTTTAGAACAACTCCATTACCATAGCCTATGTAAAATGCATTGGTTGGCCTTGGCATGAGATATTAAAGGAATACTGGGCTCTTCCAGAGATGTCAGTGTAAGTGTGTGCGGACGAGCTGAAGCTTCCCTGTGGGAAGACGGAGTCCTCGGATATTGATCTGTCTAGTTAAGACCACTAACAGTGTATGCCACAGATGAGAGGAGAACAGAACAAGGGATCACAGAGGTCGCTGAGAACAGACTACTCCGCTGGGTCACAATACTGACCATTTCACGGATGGAGGTTGAGTGTGGATGTAAGGCAGAGATAGAAACTCGAGTCTGCAATTTAAGTCATTACTCACCAAAAATCCTGACATCCACCTAAATTATTTTTGGAATGTTAATGAGAAGTAGTGATGTCTGATTTTAACACAACATTCTATTGAATCATATTTTGAATCAATCAGGTCAAACTCTTCAAGTCAATTAGAGAATTACAATTATTTTTCCATTGTCATCCAGGAGATATTTATAAAAATGTCTCAAGTATTTTTTATATATTTCATACAGTTGTTTTAAACCCCCTTGACTATTGAATTTAGGTGAACGATTTAGATCAAAAAAGCTGACTTGAGAATCGACAGGGACTCTTAGAGATCAGAGGAAGATAAGAGAATAGAGAAAGTTTTTATTTGAATATCAAGATATATATATATATATATATATATATATATATATATATATATATATATATATAGAAATGACTATCTCTTTTGCTCTTTCTTCTTGTGAAAATTTGCATCCATTTACTTTTGTATTTCACAAATTACTATTTTCTAGGAACTCCTCGACACAAATAACGCATTTAAAAATGAAAATGCAATTAGCTGACAAGGCCTTGAAAGAACTAAAGAAAGTCAATAAAACATAGAGAAAGCTATCTGTAAGCATTCCCATTCATTTCAATGGTAGTTGGTCAACTCCCGCATGATAATTTCAAATCTCTTTTTTTCATACACCCACAGATTTTTTTTTGAGCCAGCTGCCTGAGCTATAAGCAGTGAAAAAATAATTGAAATAAACATCTACATTACTATTACAAAATAACAGCAATACTGTACATATAGTACACTGCTTGTAAAAAAAAGAAGATCAGAATAAGCAGCTAATTTGAATAGCAGAAGCCAGGAATGGAGCAACAGTAATAGCTGAGGTAACAGATTTGAAGTATCCACTGACCTTGCCAGCCAGGTTTGCACACTGGTTTGACATCAATGTGAACCGGAACACTTTCCATCGCCTTTTTCTGGCCACAATCGTAAGCAGTCACCATGATTTTGTAGTGCTGCTGTTTGTCATAGCTCAGTCGCTCCGTGTTCCTGATGTTGCCTGGAGAGAAGAATAAATGTAAGAGAAAAAAACAAGCCCATTACTTGTGAGAGAATTTGCTAAATAAAATTAAAGACATGCTAAGTGGAACGAGGAAAGTAAAACTTAAGAGAGCAATGTGTAATTGTTGCAGCTGCCAGACTGAGATACTACACCAACATATGCTTTTAAACAATAATTAAGCTCCCTTACAATGGCTCTTGCCAAATGTTTTCAATCACAAAAGTAATTTCAACAGTGTAAGAGTCCCTGTTTCAGCAATTACAGATTATATCTGCAAGACTGTTTCCAATGCTGCTAATTAGGACAAAGACAATTACATCTAATCTCTATAGTTTGCATTTCACAAGGCTTTATAGTGGTTTATTATCTGCATTCATGGCTAATAAAATAATGTAGGTTAGGACATATGGTTAATAAAACTACAAATGTTGAGTTTGTACTTTGAATACAAATTTACTCAGAATACAAAGAGTACAAACAGTAACCACCTTCTGTTCTTCATATACAAATGGGATTTGTATTTCTGGTGTCATTGAAAAATGTATCCACCTTCTCTACAAAGCCATTCCAACTTTTATGGGTACTGATTAAAAATCAATGATTGTGATTGTGATGCATAATAAACATGTATCCCATTGTAAACATTGTATCATCAATGTTGAAAAGAGTTGCTGCTTAATATTTTTGTGAAAACCATAATGCTTTTTTTTCAGGTTTCATAGAAAGTTTACAAGAACAGCATTTTTTGAAATATAAATCTTTTGTAGCATTATAAATGTCTATACAGTCACTTTTTATCATTGAATGCACCCTTGCTAAATAAAAGTATTAATCTCCTTAAAAGTCTTACTGAGCCCAAACTTTTGAACAGTAGTGTATATTTTATTAATCATATATAATTTTAGTGTTCACATGATATTACTGAAGATCCAAGTAGTCAAATGACACATTAAGCTACCAGTTTAGCATAGTGCTAACTGGTAAGAAAAGCTCTTGATCAGCTTTTGATTAAAACACTATGTTTTAGATCACGTACTGAGCAAGAGAGACACACACAAACTATAGCGCTGAAGCACAGTAACGAACCAACATGTTGTATATACTTGGAAACGGTTTCTGCTTCCACTAAGAAAGACGCACTTTCTTTCAATCAAGACATATATAACATAATCAATCATTACTAACACGGACCTCTGCACAGACACGATGTACAGATCTGACATTGTTGTATGAGTCATTCTTTATCAGCTAAGTGCTAAAGGTACATTCTGACTTTCTAACCTCTGGCAGAAAGCCAGACCATGCTCTAAAAGCTTTTTTTTTAGGGATGAGTATTCTTCCTGGTCAGCAGTTCGAGAAGTGCCAGCCTGGCACTGTTGGTTGAAAAAAGTCAGTAAACCATAGACTGTACACTTGCAGAGCTCCAGGTTAAAGAACCACAATGACATGGATCTTCTAACTGGCACCTGTCACTTGAGTAATGAGTGTTTTTTGTCACAGGACTGATGTGTGTAATTTAGCATTTAGCGCCCACAGTTGCTAAAGGTGGCTTTGGGGTTGATGTTTGGTGTATGGCGATGAGTCTGGACGCACTCTGTGGTGACAGAGTTCATATGAGGCTGAACTAGCAGCTAGTGATTTGATGCTCTCACAAGTCCGTAGGCCTGTGGTTATTTTTACCGGCTGGCTGCATTTCAATGAGACCAGCCGTGCTGTCAAGGAGACAGCATTGAGGAATAGAGGTCAGTCGCTCTGGGCTCCCAGACCAAGTCTGCACCAATCCTCGGAGCCACAAAGCTAAAGTGTGGCTTGAAATACCCTCAAAGCCATACTTCAACAAACACAGGTATGTGGAAGGAAGGAGGAGGGGTGTGTGTGTGTGTGTAAGACAGTCAGTTCAGTTGTTGCAGCTGATTACAGCAACTAATGTCAGGTGGCATGATTAAGAGCAGGGGTTTTTAAAAGGAACAGTTCTCCTTCAGTGAGTTATCAATGGGCCTCTGTCTGTGCGGCACAGATCAAAACAGGAGTATGATAACAGAATATGAGACAAAAAGAGGGTGAGACCATGAAAACCCTCAACATGTCTATGTTTCTGCATGTGAAGTTCAAACCGGGGCATCATGCATATTTTAATGAGGGGGCACAAATGGCCGTCTCGGGTTATTTGAAGGATTTTCATATTTAATTAACCCTGGTTCATTCTAAACCCTGGGTTAGCAGAATCTTTGGTTAGCTTGCTTCATGTTTCACACTGCTCATAATTTACCCAGGGTTCACAATTAATCCTGGGTATTCATAAGCTTATGTTTCACACTGTACATGCCTAAACCCTGGGTTCCTCTTCAGGAACTCGAGCTGCGTCGAAAACGCTAGGGGAACGCCTTCTGCGACCCACGCTCTGAATCACATGTGAAATCAGTCCAATAGCTGAACGGGACGTCATGACCAGGAAGCTATAAAATCACGTGCGGCGGAGCCAGCGTCAGCTTTCTGTCATTCAGCGAGGCGCTCTGTGTAGAAATCAGTCCAATAGCTGAACGGGACGTCACGGCGGATGACGTCATGACCAGGAAGCTATAAAATCACGTGCGGCGGAGCCAGCGTCAGCTTTCTGTCATTCAGCGAGGCGCTCTGTGTGTGTCAGTCATATTTATTGTTGTCTGTCTATTGTGAGAAAAAGTCTAATAAGCAGCTATGTCTAAGGCTCACGCTAAGACAAAGCATGCAAAGGGCGAGTGCAAGCCACGTTATATGTTGTGTGTTCCTCCCTGCCCACGTTATTCACGAGTGGGGATACACACAACCTGTGCATGGTTTGCTTGGGAGCGAAGCACGCAAAGTCGGCTCTTGAGGGGGCCGGCTGCCCGCATTGCGAGCGCCTCCCACTGCGTACGCTTCGCTCCCGGAGGGCTCTCTTTGAGGAGGGAGCCTTCGCCAGCAGTTGGATCTGGCGGAGGGAATGGAGACGGGCGAGTCCCTATCTCCTTCCTCACCCACCGGATCCAGTGCCCGATCTCTGGGTTCGGAAGCCCGTTCTGCGGCTACTTCCTCCCGGGGTGATGACTCGACGCTTCTCCTGTCTTCCTCCGAGGAGGTTGACGTGGAGGACGTCGAAGAGGTTTCGCCCCCTCAATCGCCCCAATATGAGGAGCTAGAGGAGGTGCTTACTCGTGCCGTGGCCAAGCTAAAAATCGATTGGTCCGCCGAGAAGCAGGCCGAGCCGCAGCAAAGCAAGCTTGATGAACGCTTCCTGCGCGCGAGGCCGCCACCTCCAGCCTGCCGTTTTTCCCCGACCTCCACACCGAGGTGTCGAGGTTGTGGGCCAAGCCGTTTTCAGCCCGCCTATTCATCCCTGCCTCAGATTATTATGGAAATGTGGCAGGGCTATCTGAGCGTGGCTATAAGGCGATGCCCCGGGTTGAACAGATGCTAGCTAGCTATCTGTCCCCGGGCATGGCATCGTCGTTAAAGGCTCTGGCACTACCCTCCAAGCCGCTGCGTACGACATCAGTGCTGGTGGGCAAGGGGTACGCGGCAGCGGGTCAGGCCGGTGCGTGTCTGCACACAATGTCTGTGTTACAGGCGTACCAGGCCGACCTGCTGAAAGAGCTGGATGAGGGCGAGGAGCTTAGCTCTGATAATATCGCAGAGTTAAGGAGAACCTCTGATCTCTCTCTCCGTGTCACCAAAGAGACCGCCCGCGCCATTGGGTGGTCCATGGCAGCTATGGTGGCAGCAGAGAGGCATTTGTGGTTGACCCTGTCGGATATGAAAGGGTCTTCCTCCTCGACGCCCCGCTTGCGCCTTCTGGCCTGTTCGGCGACGCTGTCAATTCAGTCATCGACAGGGACCAGGAGGCTCGAAAACAAGCGGCGGCGTTTCAGCGGTTCCTTCCTCGCCGTATTTCAGCTCCGGGGGCTGCTGGGCAGCAGCAGTCCCCACTGCGTACCAGCTCCTCACATAGGGAGACGCAAAAACAGAGCGTTGCCGCCCGTGTTCCCCCGCGTCGGGACCGGAGCCAGAAGCAGCGCTTCAAGGCACCGAACTAGCCATTCTGGCCACACCAGAAATCAGTCTCGAGAGACTGATTCCCTTAGTAGATTATTTAGCAGCGTGGAAGCTACTGCCAAATGTATCTCAATGGGTCCTGCGTACTGTAGAAAGAGGCCATGGAATCCAGTTCGGTTCTCGTCCGCCTCGATTCAACAGAGTCACCCCCACGCTAGTGGGTCCCGAGCAGGCTCTGGTATTAGAACAAGAAGTAGTTACTCTCTTAAGGAAGGAGGCCATCGAGGTGGTCCCTCCGCACGAGATAGACTCCGGGTTCTACAGCCGTTACTTCATTGTTCCGAAGAAGGATGGGGGGTTGCGTCCTATTTTAGATCTGCGCCTATTGAACCGCTCAGTCATGCGACTGAAGTTCAGAATGCTCACACTCAAGCAGGTCATGTCTCAGATCAGGTCCGAGGACTGATATGTCACGATCGATCTGAAAGACGCGTATTTCCATATCTCCATCCTTCCTCATCACAGGAAGTTCCTGAGGTTCGTTTTTGGGGGCAAAGCGTACCAATATCGTGTTCTTCCTTTCGGCCTTGCACTCTCACCCCGTACTTTCACAAAGTGTGTGGATGCTGCCCTGGCTCCGTTGCGACTCCAAGGCATCCGCATACTCAACTACATTGACGATTGGTTGAATTGAGCTTGTTCAGAGCAGATAGCGGTTCGACATCGAGATGTTGTTCTTGCTCACATGAGAGAGTTGGGGTTAAGACTAACGCCAAGAAGAGTGTGCTTTCTCCATTACAGACAACCACCTATCTGGGCGTGGTGTGGGATTCGACCACGATGCAGGCACATTTGTCTCCTGCTCGGATCAATTCAATCCTCACTACAGTCAAGAGAGTGAAAGAAGGCCAGTCACTCACTGTCAAGCAGTTTCAAAGACTGCTGGGTCTGATGGCAGCTGCGTCCAACGTGATAACTCTTGGCCTGCTGTACATGAGACCCCTACAGTGGTGGCTCAAGACCAGGGGGTTCTCCCCGAGGGGAAACCCGCTTCGCATGTTCAAGGTCACGCGGAGATGCCTACGTGCCTTAGACATGTGGAGGAAGCCTTGGTTCTTGTCTCAGGGCCCGGTGCTGGGAGCTCTTTGTCGCCACGCGATGACGAGACGCTGCATCTCGGTGCTATACTTCCGGCGCCCCTGCCGGCGCTTGCTTCATTCCTAGAAGCTGACTGTAGGATATCAGACCGAATCAGACAATCTAAGATTTGGTCAAAACCGAGGTTCATGTTTCTATACTCAAACTATTTATCATTCTCTCTGTACTTCTCTCTTTCTCCTGATCTCATTCTCGTTCGTCCCCTCGTCTTCCTCCTCCTCTCTCTGGACCAGAAAACACAGTGCCAGTGGGCCTGTTGTATTTAATAACTCACTCTGCCCTCTGATCCACAGTAAATGATGAAGCCAAAAGCACTCAGAACAAAATCCACTCGGGCGGCCCATGCATCACTCAGTTCTCGCCTGGCACTAACCAAGCAATGTCAGTGCCAGGCGCACTGCAGACGCTGGCAGGGCCCAAAGTGGCAGGAGGAAGCGAATGAGACAGGAGCTATGAGTTCGACGTGAGCCCCTGAAAGAGACTGCAGCTCTTTGAGACAGCTGACACCCCACCAGAGAATATGAGAGGGAGGCAGACAGCCACAGCGGAGAGACGGGTGTCTGATCTGCGGCAGCATGGCGAATGTGATTCGTGAGCTCCGGTCCATCCAGCACCACAGAGTCGTCTCGAACGTCCCCGAAAGTGTCAAAGATTGGAGCTCTGACCGTCCAGATGGCCAATGAGCCGTTTAATTCACTCATGCATTCAACAATAACCAAATAAGACATCAATTCTGCACTGGTGAATGATGAATACAGAAAACGGAAGCTAAAACAAATCAAATTCAATCATCTTCACCCAAGAGAAAAATCACAGGTGAAGTACAGAAGTGAGAAAATGATTTGTCTTTATCACTTTCATAAGATTTATGCAATGAAAAAAACTGTGAAAAAGACAGTTAGAAAGAAAGACAGCCCAGCCACAACAGAAAGTACATCAGGAATCGTTACTCAAGTAATATTTTGGGGATTTTATAACAAGCAATATTTAAAGTAAATACATGTACTCTTACTCAAAAACATGTTAAAAACAAAATCAAACATTTTACTTCTTACTCCTTACTTTGAAAGCCTAAAATAAATTATATACCTTATATGTAAAAGCCGTAAGTAATTTCCTTTAAATCTAAAAATAAAGCAATAATGTAATTTAATAATAACCACTGTTAATGATTGGTGAACTTGATCAACAGTCACAAAAAAATACTTTTTTTTTTTTAAGTCTTTTGTGCTCATCAAGCCTGCATTTATTTGATCAACAATGAAAAACATTAACCGGTCCATCCAGCACCACAGAGTCGTCTCGAACGTCCCCGAAAGTGTCAAAGATTGGAGCTCTGACCGTCCAGATGGCCAATGAGCCGTTTAATTCACTCATGCATTCAACAATAACCAAATAAGACATCAATTCTGCACTGGTGAATGATGAATACAGAAAACGGAAGCTAAAACAAATCAAATTCAATCATCTTCACCCAAGAGAAAAATCACAGGTGAAGTACAGAAGTGAGAAAATGATTTGTCTTTATCACTTTCATAAGATTTATGCAATGAAAAAAACTGTGAAAAAGACAGTTAGAAAGAAAGACAGCCCAGCCACAACAGAAAGTACATCAGGAATCGTTACTCAAGTAATATTTTGGGGATTTTATAAAAAGCAATATTTAAAGTAAATACATGTACTCTTACTCAAAAACATGTTAAAAACAAAATCAAACATTTTACTTCTTACTCCTTACTTTGAAAGCCTAAAATAAATTATATACCTTATATTTAAAAGCCGTAAGTAATTTCCTTTAAATCTAAAAATAAAGCAATAATGTAATTTAATAATAACCACTGTTAATGATTGGTGAACTTGATCAACAGTCACAAAAAAATATATTTTTTTTTAAGTCTTTTGTGCTCATCAAGCCTGCATTTATTTGATCAACAATGAAAAACATTATAAAACTACAAATTGAAAAATAATATTATAATATGAATGCATAATTTTTTACTTCAAAATTTTAAACAGGAGTTTAAGTTTCTTTTTAAAGGGGTCATATGATGTGATTTCATGTTTTCCTTTCTCTTTGGGGTGTTACAAACTGTTCGTGCATAGATAAGATCCATAAAGTCGCAAAGATTAAAGTCTCAAACCCAAAGAGATATTCTTTCTAAAAGTTAAGACTCAACCATGCCTTCCTAAAACGCCTCATTCAAACACGCCCCTACAAATCTACATTACTGTGTTGGAAGATTTGCATAACACCGCCCAAATGTTTACACAAAGAAAGAAGGCGTAATTTTTATTCTCGCTGTAGTATTGTTGCATAGATTGTAAAACAACATAGACGTAGTGTCCGTGACATCACCCGTAGGTTTCTGAAGAGCATTTTTGAAGCTTAAAGTGCGCGGAGACAGTCGTCGCCATCTTGGCTGCGCATTACTCCCGGATAATCGAAGGTGGGCAAAAAGGCAGGACGTGGGTGGAGCTGGTTGTTGAAACCACGCCTGCCTTGCACGACAGTGGTGACAGAAGCGGCAATCCACCTTAAGCTATCACTCAAGTGGCCACGCCCTTAATTATGCAGAACTTTAAGGCTCAATATAATTTAAACGGATGAGTTATAATAAAAATTCACCCCCTCACAGTTGTCAGAAAGCACAAAATTAGCTATATAGACCAAAACCACTTTTTGTAACAGGCTGTAAACATTTTTTTCTGCTGTAAAGTTGGGCATTTTAACATGGGGAGTCTATGGGACTGATTCCCTTTTTGAGCCAGTCTCTAGCGGACAGCCGATGAATTGCAGTTTAAGTCACTTCCGTGTTGGTTTCAAGAGAGAGACCGGAAGGTTGCCGCTTGTAATGCTGCCGCCGCCGCTGTTGAGACACTGTGTGTTACACAGTTACAATAATGTACAGTATGTGGACAATAATGTTGTTGTTTTTTTTACCTTAAACCACGTAAACACATTGCATTACACCAAATACACAAAATGTTATTTTTAGCATCGTCATATGACCCCTTTAACTGAATATTTAGTCAAGATGTGTCTAAGGAAATTATTTTTTACAAAAAAAAGAAAGAAAACGAAAGCAAAAAAGACATCAAACAAAATTCACTAAAATATATTTAGTGAAGTCTACAGTTATAATCAATTTCTTCAAAAGGTTAATTAATTTTGAGGTTATTTCAATTTCTTTGAAAGGTTATTTATTTAACACATTTTGACACAGAATTCATACTTTATAGTACGTAATTTGTGTTCTTTCACACGCCTGAATCTAAGACTTACCATTTCGATCAATAGCAAAAGGTGTATCCTGTGTAACAATCTCATAGTTGCAGATCTGGCTGTACTGCGGAGAGCAGTCCTGATCCCAGGCCTCAACTTGCAGTATGCTGTCATAGATCTTGCCCTCTGTAACAGTGGCACGATATAATGGCTCCCTGAACACTGGAGAGACCTCATTTACATCATCCACCTGGATATGAACCACCGCCCTGCAATAGAACCAGAGGGACGGACAGAGGACAACCAATCAGGGTGAGGAACAGAAGAGATGTTAATTTTATAGAACAGAGGTGCTAATAGACTTGAGACACACAGTTATAACATCTCTGAACTGTGCGAGTGAACTGCGAATAGATTTACGCGTTAGAAAGATTAATGAAGACAGAAAGAAGTTCATCTCTGAGCACTGTACTGAGACCACACAAGGCCGGACTGACTATAAATATTTAAGTTGATGAAGAAATAGTATGTCACATGAAATTAAAAACAGTCTGTAGCATGTCTGGGGAAATTCCCAAAGAAAAAAGTGGAAAATTTATGAAAACATCCATAGACACCCACCAATCAATCAGCTGCAAAAATGGCTGCAAAAATTTCCTGGTTAAATTAATCTACTTTAAAAAATATATATATTTTAATATGTTTACTTGATAAAAAGACTAATGTGTGGTGCAGCAGGCAGAATAGATGGCATGGTTTACCTACCTGAAGTTTCATCACAATAAAATTACTCATCAAACATTAAGCTGCTGTTTATCAAGCTGCATTCGGCACAACGACACAAACACAGATGAAGCTTTTGCCTGCAATATGTCTGCAAATACAATAATTGCTAAGTAATGCATTTCATTAAGAATGAATCTGACAATTCACAATAAAAAAACAAAAACAAATGAATATCTGAGACCGTAGGCTGAAGGTGCAGGTTTAGTTTAACTTGAGAAAAATTTAAATTAGTTAAACTAAACCAATGCAATTATATATATACATGCATAATCTTTTTTTTTTATACTTCAGTTTCATTTAAAACATTTTATACCAAGAAATTGATCACATCACACATGAAATGAAGATTGCAGTCATATTCATAGCCTATTTAAATCTAAATCTCCTTTCCAACCCCAAACCATTTGTATGGTAACTAGCCTGAAAAAGAGCTGAGAAAGTCGCATTGTGGTGCACAGAGCTCACATCAAATCTTAAAGAAGTCCAGCTCAGTGTCTGCCGTTCAGTCAAACCAGCTGTGACCTTCTTTGACAGAAACATAAATTCACGTGTTGACGTACGTCTTCCTAAATGGAGACATTAAGTTAATGGGACCTGCATTTAGATTATCCCGCTGAGATCCTGTACTTGGCGATCTCTCTTGCGTGCACGCGTTCGCACACACCCCTCACTATCGCGGTGTCAAGAGACATTCATCAGAACGAGCCAAGCTGTGAAATCAAAAGCACTTCTTCATCTCTCGCTCTCTCTCTCTCTCTCTCTCACACACACAGCAGTGGGTGCCTGAAGCACGGCTCTCTCCTGCACTTCATCAGAGCTGTGTTCCAGCTGCAGCGAGCTGCTATTGTAAGAGAGATTGTCGGGCACATATGGAGCTTCCGGCAACTTTGTAAACATCTTGATGGGTCATCAATGCAGGGCCAGCCAGGGCTGGGTGTGTAGAAATGTGTGCAAGCATATGAGTGTGTATGTGTGTCTGTAGCCAACTCATATGCTGGAGTGCCGCCAGGGACAGAGAGAGAAAAAAAGAACAAGGGAAGGAGAGAGCGAAAGAATGCTGGACGGTACACTAAACTTCACTCTGATTTGAGATTTGAGGCGAGGAGTGCAAACTTCACCACGGTTTACACCAAGGATGATAACTATAACAATAACTATTAGGGCTGGGTTTTGACACAAATTTCACGATTTGATTAAATTATGCTTCACAAGATTGCAATTCATTTTGATTCCGAATCCGATTTCGATTCGATTTGATTCAGTATGGATTCTCTTGGAACTGAGGCACTACAGTGGTCCGTCCCTCCACATTAAACAGTGCCAAAATGGCATTTCTTGTTTGAATATATTGTAATAAAATGGACAGAATTTGAAAAAGTAACGAAGCACACAGCTTATTGCTACAGTATTTATTGGATGGGAGGTGCGCTTCAGTGTTCCGTTTATTAGCTGAAAACAGACTAATCGATTAAGAATCAATATCATTTCGTAAAAATGAGAATCGATTCATCAGTAATTATAACTATAAAGTTTTAGTTATCATTCTAATTGCATGAAAATAGCAAAGTCCACACCACAGCTATAGGCTAATGGTAATGACATAATTGGAACGATTTTCTCCAACTGATGAATGCTAAAAACATTGACCAATCAGAATCTACCTGACTTCACATACATCGGCAGGTGACATAATAGCAACTTGTGCTCATAATAAACAGAACGTTATCGTCCGTTGGTGTGATCTGATACATTGGTATCATTACACAGTAGTAATCTTTATAGTTAAAACTTTAACTGTTCTAGAGCTTTACTGGCTGATTAAAATAATAATAATAAAATAGATCTACATAAACAAAATAATTATAATTAACAAAAAGCCCCAACAATGAATTAATCAACTGATTAATCAACTCATAACAGTGAATTAACTGATTGTGCTGGTATTAATTTGTGATGAAGTGTTTCTGTTGTCTCACTTCAATCAGTCAGTGTAAGTGTTCAGGCCAACACTTCAAACAATTGCTTAATTACCTTAAAAAAGGAGCAATTTAATTCCTTTCAATGAAATATGGAAGAAAACAGCAGTCTGACAAAATTATAGATTTATATCCCATAATATATAAAGATGCTTTATAACACAAACTAAAGGCTATAGAATATATTACACATTTTGCTGACGATCTGTAGTCTGGACAAGTCAATGCTATTGCTTGAAAGTCAGAATCAATCTGCAAATTTTGAATACTCAGGAGTTGACAGAATTCACAGAAAATCATGTAGTGTATGATAGGTGCAGACTATATGATTCCATTTGATGTTATATGCCGATTTTAGAAGAAACATTGCTTTTATTTGTCATGTGACTTTCTAGCAACAAGACACATGTCTCTGTGTGAGTTTGTTGTGTTCAGAACGACTTGAAAGTCGTGTAGTCCTGTCTAGTTTTTCATCTGTAACCATTTTTCATGGGAAAATGCGTTTTAAAATATGACGATATTTAAAAGTCTTGGTGTATTCCAGCCTTAATGTTAATTTGTACACTACTGAAAAAAAAAAAATAGTAGTTTTGCAATAATGTAAGGTGTGAGGTGATCCACAATTTTGTTAAAGTGCTTACAAGTACATTGGAATATCACATTGATAAAATAAATAAAAAATAGAGTCTAACAACCCCAAAATTACTCCAAATGAAACACTAGACTGGTTAGCTGTCAGCCCAGCAGTTGGTTTCCTCATGGCTCTTCTGCCTCAAAAGCTTGCACAAATGTGGCAAAGCTTCATTCTGCTTTTAACTTCGATAATTGGATGATGAATTAAACAAATGGATCAATGGCACAGCAGGACACCAGTCCCTTAACTTACAGTCCACATCACAGAGACGATTGCTCCTCTTGCTTGTAAATTGCAACTTCTACTAAGAGTATTGTAGCTTTTATGCAAAATGACCTACAATACTTTAACCACTAGACCAACATTTTCCAGATGACCTACCACTTCTAGAGTAAAACAAAAATTGTGGAGCACATAAAATCCTAAATGTCACTAACTTCACATATTTTTTCATTTTTGAGTCCAATCCATAATTTAACTTGACTGCTCTGATTTTTTTAATGAAATGAACTGAACTGCAACTTTTTGCTAATCAATCTAAATAATCCAACTATTAACTAATTAAAAACAATTGCATGAACAACTGTGAGATATGTTGCAATTTGTGAGATTGCAACAAGTGAGAAAAGACTTTCCTAAAATCTGTTGATTAATTAGTAAAATTAAATGTTGGTGCTTATCAATTAAAACAAAAATCAGTCAATCAATTTGCAGATCCTTCACAGACCACCAGTGGACTTCCATTTGAAGCAGCAGAAATAAACTACACCACACCAGATCAACTAAGGTCTCTCTACTTACTTGTGGCTCTTTTTCCAGTTAGCTCCACTAGGGCTGGCTCCACAGTCATAGGCCTGGATAATGAAGGTGTACTCCTTCTGCTGCTCGCAGTCTATGGGACCCCGGGCCCTCAGCACCCCTTCACCAGATGTCCTGTTCAACACCTCAGCTTCAAACGGGGCCTCCTGCCCATGAATCTTAAATGCACAGATCTCTCCTGGAAGAAACAAGACACGGGAGGCAGAATCAGTGGCTGCGAAAACACACAAATGACTTTCTTTTTTCCGCCTGCATCTCAACAAGCTATCATTGCTATAACTTTCACCCAGCAGGCTGGGCCCCCAACCCCGGAGCAGTAATATACAGGACACGGTGTGCTTTTAGAACTGAATCTATTCGTGCTGCGAGAGGAAGAATAACTGTCTGCTTTTGTAATTGCCTCATTGCAGAGCTGGAATCACATTGTGCAAGAAAGCACAGTGCTCAAGTACAGTGTTTTGAATGTGGTAATGACTGTGTGTACCGATAGCCTCGCTGTCGTTCTCAGGCGGCTCGTCCCACTTGAGAAGAAATTGTTACAATAAAATATGTATGCACTATACAGTAGATGAAGAATAATTGTGAAATTATGTCTTTTTACCAAGCTATACTAATTGCGAGCAAACTATTTCTTTCAACTTAGTAATAATTAATTTGTAATATACCCTTAAATTGTTAATTTTTTTTCTACTCATCTAAAGTAAAACCATAGCATAAATAAAATAAATCATAGTACCTTGATATTGGCATCTGATACTATCACTGGCCTTTTTTTTTTTTATGTGATGGCAGTATATGTTATTGGTTATACGATGGCATTAAAAATAATAATAAAATGAACTTGAATAAAATAAATGAATTTCACAGCTATGGTATCAAAGAATATTGGCATCTGATACCATCATAGTATTTTGTTTTTTTCTTTATTTTTGTAAGTGATAGTTGTCTATGGTATATTAATTTATGTTAATCCTATGGTATTTATTATAAGGGTTGCTAATCCTATTATACATTTACATTTGAAATGTGAAATTTGCTGAAGGTCTATGTCTATGTAACAACTGATTGTGACACAGCTAACACAGGGGCTGATTATTGATGTTAGACTATGTCTTTTAATTCCCAGGTGCCAGTGTTCACTTCACTTTAAGTTTTGCAGTAGCCTTGGAAACAACTTCTTCTAGAGACTGCATTGAAGTCACCCACAGTGCAGTTCTTTCCACACAATCACAGATAATGTTGACGCCACAGTAGCTCCGAGACCACAAGAAAGGACATTGTCTTGCCACTGTATCTGTTCACTGGTCCTTTCTTGGCAGCGCTTCTATCTGGCAATACCGGCTCTTTTAGGGATTTGGAAAATGACCACAAAAAAGCGGCGGAACTCTGACCCTGAGACAGCTGATATCACTTAAACCCCGGCAGGTCTCGGGAGCAAACAGCGACGTGCCGTTACGCTGTGTGCTCAAGCCTGCTGCTGCGGACAGATAAGCCTAACTTTCTCTCGCCATTCCATTCTCTCTCAATTTCTTTTTTCATTATTTTCTTTTTTCCTCTTCTTCTTTTTAAGCAGATCTGATTCTCCGCTCGAAAATATCTCTCCTCCCTCAGTGCTGAAATAACAATTTACCCTCCACAGTCTCTGTTCCTGTTGAGACTTGCCGTTTAGACTAGCTCCACGATGCTTTATCCAAATTAAATGTGTAGCACAATAGGGCAGGATGGCGGCAGATATCAAACATAATGTGGCAGGCAGCACATACAAATACGAGTTCTGCGATCTTTTTCAATGACAAAATGAGATGAGTTGTAACACAAATGGGAAAGAACATTATATAAGAATAACAATGATCACAATGCATACACACAAAAAATAAAAACATTCACTGGTTAAAGAAAAAAAATAAAATTCCACTTAGTGCTCGGGAGTCACGGGTAAACCCATTTTCCGCTCCGTCTACTGCTGCAAATGCATTTTCCAGATTCAATTGGAGAAAGGGCAAAAGGGTCAAACCATACAGCATAGGAGGTGCAGGCAATGCGGATGTATATGTACAGGGTAATGATGGATGGAAACCGTGAACTAATTTCCATCATGTCTCTAGATGACAGCTTGAAAACAGCAGCATCTCCTCACGCTCCGCCAGCACAGAGGTCTGTAATCACACGGTGAGCTCTGCCGAGCCTAAACTCTTTGGAGTTCCCCTTTGAAAGTGTTGAAGGAAGTATTAAATTGGGCCGACAGATGTGCCATGTTTTTAATACCACCTCACATCAGCTCTGGGAGTGTAAAGAAGGGAGTTCTGGGTAAGCCAATTTGAGACTAATGAATGAAATCATCCATGTAATATTTGTACTGCTTACTGCAGAAATTCATTTGTAGTGGGGTGGTTTACAAGGAGCATGAGCGGTAAACTCCAGAGACCTGGATGACCTCCATCTCGTAAACCAATTCATTTTCCTGTTTCATATTTGGAAGGAGCGCAAATTAGATGTGTTGTATGGGACGCAGCCAGAGACAGATCGGAGATCATAATGGTTGAGTCATGCAACAGCTGACGGCAGTTCCCCGCTGTTTCTGAGACGTTATTTGGCATATTGAGGCAACTAAAACAAAACTTTAAGGTGGTACGGTTGCACAGCAAAGTCGTCAGGTCAAAAATCAAGATTGATTACGCTTCATTTATTATTTGTGTAAACACGCTGTCAGGCCTAATCACAATCTTAATTATGAGCTCAAATTGGCTTTTTAATATTTCATGACAGAACTGCCGGCAACTTCTAAATCTTCACCTTTGAGCCATTCGGATCAATATCCACAGTAAATTCGCCTTCAGTGAGATCTGTGTGAGTCTTGTTTTGAAATTTAACCTTGTTAGCTTGTGTGAAAACAGACAAATCCAGCCAAGCATCTGTTCTAACATTATCTACTCACAATATACAGCACATTTGAAAGAAACTCATCAGCTTCAAGGTCAAATGAGACTAGCACAACGCTCCACGTCAAGAAACGTAGGACAATTTTAGCATGCAGAAATTTAATTGCTAAAGGTTGCCAGGTTGCTGCGCTGTTGGTTCATAGCAGGTGTTCATGCTTGCCTGCAGTATCCAGGAGGTAAATGTGAGCTTCACTGTTGGCACTCCCATTGCTAGTCCCAGCATTGGACTGCATTTCTGTACACGTTCTTATAATTAAACTGTTAATCTCCGTCTACATGAATTTTGCCCCAAATGCCAATTCTCAAAGCTCTCATAATGAATGTCTTCCACTCACTTTCTTGAGTCAAATCACTGTCAGTACATACACATGAAGAGTTCCTTTTAAAAAGTGCCTTCTGAAATTTTCTTCTAAAATTAGCATTTTTTATCAGGCTCGTAGGTGTAGGTTCAGTAATTTCACTTTAATGGCAATGAATAGGTTATTTTAATTGCCATGTAATCGAAATAACTGAACATATACATAGAAGCCTGAAAAAAACGGCAATGCTGAATTTTCAGCAGCAATTACTGAGTTTAGCAGCCATTACATTATTGAGTCTTCGGTGTCACATGATCCTTCAGAAATAATTTGTGACCCTGGACCACAAAACCAGTCATAAGTAGCATGGGTATATTTGTAGCAATAGCCAACAATACATTGTTTGGGTCAGAATTATTGATTTTTCTTTTATGCCAAAAATCATTAGGATATTAAGTAAGATCATGTTCCATGAAGATATATTGTAAATTTCCTACCATACATATATCAAAACTTAATTTTTGATTAGTAATATGCATTGCTAAGGACTTCATTTGGACAATTTTTAAGGCAATTTTCTCAATATTTAAATTTTTTTGCACCCTCAGATTCCAGATTTTCAAATAGTTGCATCTCAGCCAAATATTGTCCTATCCTAACAAACCATACATCAATGGAAAGCAGACGATGTATAAACTTCAATTTCAGAAACCCTTATGACTGGTTTTGTGGTCCAGGGTCACATTTCGTATTATTATCAGTGTGGAGAAAAAAAATAATGTGGAAACCATGATGAATTTTTCAGGATTCTTTGATGAATAGAAATTTCAAAGAACAGCACATTGATTGATTGATTGATTGACTGATTGATTGAAAGTCTTAACTGTCACTTTCCACTGTCAATTCACTGCATCCCTGCTGAATAAAATTATTAATTTCTTAACACTTCTGAATGGTACAATAAACAAATAAATAAATAAATAAATAATGTTTTGACATTATACCATTTCAAATATTAATACAGGTCAGAAAACATTAGATTAACTAAAATAAACAATTATAATATATATATATATATATATATATACAGTCGTGTGAAAAAGTGTTATCAAAGATAACACAAGTAAACACAACATTGCTGCTTCAGGACCTGGAAGACTTGCTGTGATAAATGGAACCATGAATCCTTATGTTTACCATAAAATCCTGAAGGAGAATGTTCGTGACCTCAAGCTGAAGCGAACTTGGGTTCTGCAGCAGGACAATGATCCAAAACACACCAGCACACACACACACACACACACACTTTTATTATAAATACAATATAATACATTTCAAATATTTATTAATTATACTTTCATTTACATCTCAATGATCCCTTTCTTTTAGGTTATTAAACATTTCTACTTAAATCAATGATTCATATCTATTTATTTACTTTATATTTCAAGTAGTCATGTAATAATCTACAGCAAAACAGTCAATATTGCAAAACAAACTCCTTCAGAATAATACAACAGCACTTTGTGTCAAGGTTCTTATCACTATGTGTGGGTTTATTTGGTAATAATAGAGTGACTCAATATTATTCCATCTATATCAGTTCTCCACCAAACGATGTTAAAAAATAATGAGAAACTCTCATTCTGTGACTAAAACCTCATGTTTAGGAACAACTAGATCCATTTTCAAGCTACAAGATTCATACAGGAGCACTCGTACTTTCCCAACATACTGCATAGTCATTTGTCATTCCTTAGCTTTTTAAAATATTTTCATTTAGTTGTAGCGTGAGCTGATATGGGTTGGGGTTGATTAAAACCCTGTTCATACAAACCATCACTAGGCAAAGCCTTGATTCATCCGACCCTTCGGACATACACTTGGCCGGCCCCGTGTTCCCTTTCTTTAATTACTCTCTGGATTACATTCTTTGCTAA